TTTTTTAAAAAAATACTATAATCAAAATTAAAATATATTACTATATGCTTGTGCTGTGCTATAAATTATCTAACTAATCTGTCTTGTATCCTGATTATATCAAAAGCAAAAGATGTAAAAAGGGATTCAAATGTATTCAACAGTGTATTCAAATGTATTCGTCAAATGATTGTCATCATATAATTATTTGTCATACATCATATGCAGCTACAGGTATAACTAACATTAATAAAACATAGTCTGTAAGATTAAAGCCCGTTCTACATTGATCGCATGTCGCCAGTCGCAAGCAAATCGACCAATCACAGTCGAATATTCGACGGAATAATCGACTGATTGGTCGATTTGCTTGCGACTGGTGACATGCGATTAATGTAGAACGGGCTTAATATGTATAAACGCAACTATATTACACATTTTTTAAAGTGTTCTTTTCATTGTGAGAGTTCTTTAACAGTGTATAAAGTAAAGAAAAAAAACTAGTAATTATTAATAGAAAAAACTACTATACTTTAAGGATTAATTTCATTAAGTTAGTTGTTTTTATAAATTTTTATGAATATATCAGTCTATAAATACATATCTTCCATAAAAAAAACAAAAAAATATTATCTTTAAACAGATAAAAATTATTTGTCTTGATTATTTATCTATTGTCGTTGTTAAAAAAATATTTACCTTTTATTTTTGTTTCAATAAGGAAATTGATGTACATACTCAAATAGCGTCTCCATTTATTTATCATATTTTTCTTTTCTTTCTTATGGTGCATCTCAATAAAAGCTGAATAGCATTCTAGATGAAATAAGTTTTTATTAGGCTCATTTTAACAGAGTACATTAAAAATGAGAATGTAAAATTCTAACTTTACTTCTGGAAAAATAATCTCGTTGTTAGAGAGTGTGAATAAAGGCCTGTTTTAGCACTTAAAAGTTTTTTCGAACGTATAATCAAATGAATAATTGGCTCTAATAGTGATTATATACTTAAAACTGCCTTTGAAAATTGTAAAGATGCCTAGATGTGTGAAGAGTAGGGACTACGAAAAAGCTATAAGCAATGTTAAAGAAATTGTTCCACCATTTTGGGCATAAAGTTAATTTGAGTCAATTATTTATTTAGTTTATTATTTTCATAATTATGCTATGCAGTTTTAAGTTACCATTCGGTGACGTTTTTTGTAGATGTTTGTGTTTTATTATTTATCTTTAATTTACTATGTATTATTATTATTATTTATCCAATTCATAAAATGATAAATAATAATAATAATAATACACAAATATCTAAAAAAAATGTCACCAGATGATAACTTAAAACTGCATAACATAATTATGAAAATAATAAATTAAATAAATAATTGACTCAAATTAACCCTATGTCCAGAATGATGGAACAATTTCTCTAACACTGCTTATGGCTTTTTCGTAATCCCTATTTTTCACGCGCTTGGGCTTTTTTACAATTTTTCAAAGGCAGTTTTAAGTATATAATCACTATTAGAGCCAATTATTCATTTGATTATACGTTCGAAAAAACTTTTAAGTGCTAAAACAGGCCTTTATTCACACTCTCTAACAACGAGATTATTTTTCCAGAAGTAAAGTTAGAATTTTACATTCTCATTTTTAATGTACTCTGTTAAAATGAGCCTAATAAAAACTTATTTCATCTAGAATGCTATTCAGCTTTTATTGAGATGCACCATAAGAAAGAAAAGAAAAATATGATAAATAAATGGAGACGCTATTTGAGTATGTACATCAATTTCCTTATTGAAACAAAAATAAAAGGTAAATATTTTTTTAACAACGACAATAGATAAATAATCAAGACAAATAATTTTTATCTGTTTAAAGATAATATTTTTTTGTTTTTTTTATGGAAGATATGTATTTATAGACTGATATATTCATAAAAATTTATAAAAACAACTAACTTAATGAAATTAATCCTTAAAGTATAGTAGTTTTTTCTATTAATAATTACTAGTTTTTTTTCTTTACTTTATACACTGTTAAAGAACTCTCACAATGAAAAGAACACTTTAAAAAATGTGTAATATAGTTGCGTTTATACATATTAAGCCCGTTCTACATTAATCGCATGTCGCCAGTCGCAAGCAAATCGACCAATCACAGTCGAATATTCGACGGAATAATCGACTGATTGGTCGATTTGCTTGCGACTGGTGACATGCGATTAATGTAGAACGGGCTTAATATGTATAAACGCAACTATATTACACATTTTTTAAAGTGTTCTTTTCATTGTGAGAGTTCTTTAACAGTGTATAAAGTAAAGAAAAAAAACTAGTAATTATTAATAGAAAAAACTACTATACTTTAAGGATTAATTTCATTAAGTTAGTTGTTTTTATAAATTTTTATGAATATATCAGTCTATAAATACATATCTTCCATAAAAAAAACAAAAAAATATTATCTTTAAACAGATAAAAATTATTTGTCTTGATTATTTATCTATTGTCGTTGTTAAAAAAATATTTACCTTTTATTTTTAGGAAATTGATGAAATTGATGTACATACTCAAATAGCGTCTCCATTTATTTATCATATTTTTCTTTTCTTTCTTATGGTGCATCTCAATAAAGCATTCTAGGCATTCTAGATGAAATAAGTTTTTATTAGGCTCATTTTAACAGAGTACATTAAAAATGAGAATGTAAAATTCTAACTTTACTTCTGGAAAAATAATCTCGTTGTTAGAGAGTGTGAATAAAGGCCTGTTTTAGCACTTAAAAGTTTTTTCGAACGTATAATCAAATGAATAATTGGCTCTAATAGTGATTATATACTTAAAACTGCTTTTGAAAATTGTAAAGATGCCTAGATGTGTGAAGAGTAGGGACTACGAAAAAGCTATAAGCAATGTTAAAGAAATTGTTCCACCATTTTGGGCATAAAGTTAATTTGAGTCAATTATTTATTTAGTTTATTATTTTCATAATTATGCTATGCAGTTTTAAGTTACCATTCGGTGACGTTTTTTGTAGATGTTTGTGTTTTATTATTTATCTTTAATTTACTATGTATTATTATTATTATTTATCCAATTCATAAAATGATAAATAATAATAATAATAATACACAAATATCTAAAAAAAATGTCACCAGATGATAACTTAAAACTGCATAACATAATTATGAAAATAATAAATTAAATAAATAATTGACTCAAATTAACCCTATGTCCAGAATGATGGAACAATTTCTCTAACACTGCTTATGGCTTTTTCGTAATCCCTATTCTTCACGCGCTTGGGCTTTTTTACAATTTTTCAAAGGCAGTTTTAAGTATATAATCATTATTAGAGCCAATTATTCATTATGCGTTCAAAAAAAACTTTTAAGTGCTAAAGCAAGTCTTTCACACTCTCTAACAGAATTATTTTTTCTTTTACAAGGAACAGTAACAGTTTCACTTCTCATTTTTTTTGGAGTACTGGTTATGGATGATGCCGGACGCTTTAGTTCTGTAAAAATACATTGTCAAACATTGATAAAAATTAAGTATATAAAACTCAATTTTTCTTTCTTCTATGATTTTCGCATTTTTATCATTTTATATATAATGTTTGTATATGTAATTGCAGGTCTCGCAAGAAGAATTTGATGCAGCATTTGGATTCTAAAAATGTTAATTATGAATACATAAGATACATGTGCAACATCCGCTCTCAAGTTTTCGCTTTCTTGATATTTTTTCATTGTATATATTTTCTCAAAATATACTACAAGCTAAATTGGTAACGTAAACGTACGTAATATTGTATTTTTTTATGGCTCCTTTCCATCAGATTCCTACAAATATATTTATAGATATATCATATATATATAGAATATATCACATTAAACAATAAAATACTATAAAGTCATGTTTGTTGTTAACAAATATAAATATTTGTTTGCAGGAGATATAAGGATTCGCGAAAAAAATTCATGTTCCTGCTTGCGATTACTATATATTGTAAAATTCGCGCAAAGCTCTATTTATGCAAATACGCACACAACCAAACACAAGATCCGCTTTTACAAGGCCCGCGGCTGTTTATCCATGCCCCATAAGCGTTCCCTTTCTATGTGGGTCATTGCTCATTGTGTAGTAGGGTCAGTATAGCGCTGTAGAGGGGAGCGAAATAATCTCTCACACAAGCACATACACGAATGCATGTGTATGTGCTTGAAAGATCAGCAAAGAATGGGGCTGCGGCAGCCCGGCTGCCTCGAAAATTCCAAGTATTAGTGCGGTAGTCACTGTTATATAACCGCAATTTTGTATGAGTGGGAAATTACAACTAACGTGAATGTTACATGTAACAAATACGTTATATTACTTGTTATATTCCGTTTCATTATGGCAATGTTACAGTTATGTATCTGTGTTTGCTGGGATATTTGTGTTGTATGTGAAGTGACTGTACGAGATAAACGAGATAAGCTCGTTTTCGAAATTGACGCATATTAGACACAAATGATCTTTTGAAGTAGAAAGTTTTAGATTTATACTGGAGGATGGAAGAAGAAACGAATCGACCAAAGTGATTGTTGGAACTAGAATATCGTAAACGAAAGATATGTCATAATTTTTTTACAAGATTTTCACAAATAGGAAAGGAATATTATGTATACAAAATTAAGATTGAAATTTAATTGAACATTATATGTTTGTTACTCAACCACGTTTCGCACATGAAGCTGGTGCTGGTGCATCATGCATGAATTATAATTCTGCATGTCCTGGTCTTGATCTGCATTTTTGGCGATATATATACACATATAATACAAATTTAATTTTTAGGTTTACAAGTAAATAACAAGAAACAAAATGAAGATGAAACTACATTTGAATGGATACCACCAGATACAACTGAAGAACTTGCTGTGGATTATATGAAAGCTTTGCCTGTTGAGAAATTACCAATTAAAGGATCTGCTGGTGCTGCTTTGCGAAGGCAATTATTACAGAAACAATTACCACTTCATGATATTGATCACAAAGTTTGTGATGAACTTAGTGAACAAGAACAGAAACAATTTGAAAAAAATTTAGAGAATATAAAAAAGTATGTAGGGTAAGGCAAAGTAATGAAGGTAAGTTATGTCGATATATTATTAACATTATTAATATGAGTTGCGATTTATTATTAAAATAATAAACATATGTTCGTATTTGATTTATTTAAAACAAGTACTCAAAGTATCTATCGTTAGCATATTTTGTTGTGATATATTGCACAAAATTTAGTTTACGCAATGATACTATGCATTGTCTTCTAAAAATTTCAACAATTGTATGATTTTTAGCTTCATTATATTATACAATATATTAATACATTAATTCTTAGGCGACGCTATCGCATTGTTTTGTTCTACATATAAAAAATACTGTTGCTGATACTTGCTGCTCTTAATTTAAAAAATTTAATTATGTTTTGTTAATTTTACATATCATTTAAAGCATAAATAGTTAGAAATATTATGAAAGTATCACTTGTATAGATACTTGAAGTACTTTCTTTTCAGAGCTAAATTATATATAAAAATGTGTAGCACATGAAAAATCTTTTGTAATATTTTATGCATTGTACATAGAACTTTTGTGTATATACTATAATTTCATAAAAGATTTATAAGTAATAATACAAATGATGTCGTTTTCAGATGATAGCTGCCCGCCCGTTCGATCGTTCTCTCATGACTCCTATCAATGCAGCTGATATGCAACATTTCAGTTCGCAGCATAAATCTTATATACCTTCCACTGGTGTTCAATTACGTACACCGAGTAGTTTTACCGTGAAAAACTCATATGCAAAACTTCCATATGAAGTTCAAAATAAGCAGGATGCTATGGCCATAAATGACAATAAGATATCCAATGCGGAAGGATATAACTGTTCACTAACTAATGTAGTTGCCAATAACAACGTTGCGAAATCGCAACTAATCGAAGGGAAATTAATTAATGAGCATTCTCAACATGCGAGTGATATTGTATCCGTGAACGAAAAAGCAATAGACAGTAAAGTAATCAATCCCTCGATTCCCGCGCATCTTGCCGAGCAAGAAATCGTACCTGCACGCGAGATGCATACTTCTGAAAATTACATACCTTACAGAGGAAACACATTGAAAGATGCTTTAGAGAGGCATAGGGAAACACTGGATAATATCACGCCGTGCATTGCGCATTTGGAATCTGTTAATAGCGAAGCAGCCTCTATAGCGGAATCCATGTTGGCGGCCGCTCTTCTTCCACCTAGTGCGATACACGTCAATGATATTATCGGAAGTACATTGGATGAGAAAAGTCTGATGTTTATAAGAGAAAAACTTGCCGATAAGTACAATGCCACGGAGAATTCGGCGATGCACGCTGTTCCTAAATCATCTCGACTATTAGACGACACGAGTGATATATTACGTAACAGCGGATCTAGGGAAAATAATAATAATCCCGTGAATATTAATGAAGATGCAGAGAGAACAGCTATTATAACTGCTATGAAAAATCCTGCAGAAACTCTATTGGAAAAGACAGAAGTTAACAACTTTGTAAACACTCCATTAGAAGCAGAGAGGAAGATGTATAAACATCCATCTCAAGTAATTGAATCGATTGCTTTACCTGTTAGGGCAAATCACAAACCGGCGAAGAATAATTCGTCAGTGATAGAGGAGTCTAAAACTATACAAGAAAGTGCTATGGATCCATTATTGAATAAATACATCTCTGTGGAGTCTACTCTTCCCATATTAAATTCATCATTGCAAACTGGATCGCAATGTCCTGTTAATGCCAGTCTGTTGCAAACCGAATTGAGTAGCTCGATCTTGCAACCAACCGTCATACATTCCGAACAGTTGCAAAAACAAGTATTCCCTCATATTGTCAGAGACTCCAACGACCAATTGAACACACAACACAAAGATCATTTAAAAGATAGTATAAAGAATTTAAAGATTGATTCAAAGGTGTACAAGTGTGAAAAATGCTATGAAGATATACGCATCGGTGATGTGATTGTAACCGCGGAGAAGGCTAACAATGCATCCTGGCATCCTGGTTGTTTCGTTTGCTCGGTGTGCAACGAATTGTTGGTAGATCTGGTGTACTTTTATTATAAAAATAAGTTATATTGTGGAAGAGATTTGGCTGCATTTTTGGGAATTGTTCGATGTTTCGCATGCGATGAGGTAAGTGTGTATGTCATGCATAATGTTCTTTATTGAATGCATATCTTCTTCGAATTACAAATTTTTTGGACTATATCGTGTCAACTGTCTCTTGGCAAAAATGTGTGTGTGTGTGTCAAGGAAAAATATTTATAATAATTTCTTAATTCCCACATGTATTTTTATAATTAAAAGATTAAAATTCTAATTAAGATTCTATCACAAAGTCTGTTTGTGGATGAGAAATTAATTGAAGAATATGATTCATTTATTTGTTCTGAAGTTTGCTATTCGAAAAGCTCTTTACTTCTAATTGCTTATTAACTAACTCCGAAGTTACGAGTATCTCCACATTCTTGTAACAAAAATGTCTCAATATTTTGTAAAGATTTGGCAAGGAATTTGCAGTTTAAAGAAAGTATATTTTAATGAGAAACATTTATATATACAGGTACGTGTACGGATCTGAGCGCGCGAGCTCTACGCGATATCATTGGCAAACTTTGATCGCTTATAACTCAAAAACTATTGCAGCCTCAAAATTTTTATATTAGAATTTTTTACTCTATTTTATCTCTAGAATACACTATTAAAGTATTGTACGGAGGTTGTGAGACACCCTGTATATATATTAGAGACGGGAGCAACTTCAGGATTAACTACCACGGACGACTCGCAGGGACGCAACAATAAATATGAAAATATATTAGTAACATTTTGACTTTTATTTTTTAATTGCGAGTCTCAGCTCAAAAATATATTTCTATAAATATAAGAGTATTTCCTCGCAAATGGTTTAGCCAAAGGAAAAATTTAGAAGTCGCTTAATGGTTTCAAAATTCAGCAGTCACGTTTACAAAA